GTTAGCTATGTCAAATGCCTTAATAGATCAAATATAAAATCCGATTCGAGTTAACCACTAAATATATTATGTAATTATTCGGTTGAGTAATCCAATGAAATGCAAAATAATATAAAGTTGTAAAGTTTTGGAAGGATAATTCATTCCAGTATGAACTTCGACTTATGGCAACTGACAAGACATCCGGTGTATTTAGAAAATTTTTGATATTTATAGCATCCTAACAATAAAATTTCAACCTTCAAAAGGTTATTTTACCTACATTGTATTATAACCTGTGTAATGCCAATCAATCATACAGAAATCACGTGGAATTTTTAGAGTTCAACTCAATGGTATATTTATTAATGAACTTGGTTCTACTTATTAAACATTGATTTAGTGCTTCGATTAAGTCTATGAATAACTTTATCTAACAGACTTTGTCTACTCATAAGTAGCGTATATTGTATAAGTAAAATGTCTTGTTCTTTATCGGACAATTTGATTAGTTATCTTGTTCAAACTTCTCAGACAAACGACTTACTGCTAAAGACCAAAAGTCGTTTCACAGTACAAAAAAAACTATACTTATCCTGTTTCGAAGGTACCCTCATTCAGTTTGGCAGATAAAGTGGTGAATTTTTGAGTGAAATCAAGAGCTTAATGATAGCAAATAATAATATTTAACCGAGAATAATTTTGGACTCAAAAAATTTAGGTATTTTTATTTGATTCCTAATAGGTGTGTAAGTCGTCAATATTCTTATCTAAGCACCAGTGGCTTATAAGAAAAAAAAACACGTTTGTGATCTCATTACCAAACAATACTAAATGGATATCATATTCAACATACGTAAGTCATTAAATATGTATGCACGTATGTATGTGTGCTAATGTACATACATTACACCAGTCATTTAAATCATCAAAAATCTCTATAAAAACTAATGTGTATTGAATAGCTCTTTGAATTTCAAAGTGACTTATTTCTATATGGAATAAGCAATAAATTACTGAGTTATAACGTATTTACTGAACTTTCATCTGGCGTTTCAAATCTGTCCACTATCAAATATAACTGCCATAAAAGTATTGTAATTTGATATAATCAGCATAATCTTGAGATTACGTAGTATAGTAAATCTCTAGTACTTATTTTTTTTTTTGGATAATTTTACACATTATTTAAGAAATTGGGCGCCCATTTTATTTAAGTTATCGAGATCATTTTACATAACTGTACTTAGAAATTGTACAATTTTTACGAAATAATTGTAAATTTACATTCTAATATAAGTGACCAACAAAATGGCTTTCAGAAGTAATTCTTGGCATTGTCCAGACTTCTACTGGTAAACTGTAGAAATTTAGGATGCAGTTATTAGCTATTTTATTTCAGTTAAGAATTTATTAGCAGTCGAGTAGTTTAGTGACCACATTTCAGCTTAATCGAAAGTATTCAAATACTACGATACGAGTTGACAAACATGAGAATGGCCACTTCTCAGTGATCGGTCAATTGTTCTACAGCAAATCACTAGCTTTCTAGATAACTTTATGGTAACGTCTCGAAATTGGTAGCTGAATGGCATGAATTCAAATCTTGAAGGGAGCATAAACTGGTTGAAGGCTCCAGGTTCACCTTGCTAATGAGTTTCAATTAACACATATCTAAGCTGAGTTTCCTATCGGTTACCTACAGTCACTTAACACTTTAACAGTACACATCTACAGCTCAACATTGAACTGTAACTGAAAAATTGATATTTTGGGGTATCCGAACTGAAATATTTTTTTTCAATATGTACTGGAAACATTTGTATTCCCTGTTGATTCTAGAAAATATCTAACTATTCAAAGTTACTTGAAATTGATGATAAATATAAAATATCAGAAAGCATTTTTGTGGATATTATAGTAATTCTAATAGTTGTGATCATGAGTCTTTTGAAGCTATACCACCCTGGAAAACCTGGAAACACTGGACGGCCGTTTCGTCCTACCATGGGATTTTTCAGTGTATGTCATGGGTTCGAATCTTGCTAGATGAGATCATGGATGCGCATTGCTGAGGAGTCCCACAATAGTACGAAATGGCCGTCCAACGCTTTCAGGTTTTCCGTGGTAGTTTATCTTCAATAGACTCATGATCTCAACTATTAAAATATAAAATACATCAAAAATCATAAAATTTACTAAAAAAAGAAGAAGAACATATTCATAGCAACATTTAGGTAGTCGATTGGTTTATTATTACGAACAAAATCTATTCCAAATCATACTGGTTACACACAGTATAACTATGTCTTATTGACGAAAACAAAATCACTTGTAAATCAAAATTAAGTACTTGTTCCCTATTTATCAAAATTGTTTCTTATACCATTTCTTTTTGTGTTAATATTTAAATCATTAAATTTATCTTCTCATTTAAATGTATTAAAATCATTATAGAACTATCATTATTGAAAAGACAACTAAATCACAGTGGATTTGGAATATTATTCCTAATGTATTTTATATTTACAATACCACAATGTATCTTAATTACTTACAATTATAAATTGTACGTTTCTGTCAAGGTTAGTAGTTGTTTCTATTTGCTTGGTGGAATTGTACAAGTCCTCTCTGGTCTAAATACATTACTACTACTGCTACTACTACTACTACTACTAATAATAATAATAATAATAATATTCCATTTCTTACAGTTTAACTATGTACATATTAATTGGATTGAATTTATTTCGGAAGTGAATTTCAACAACTAAGTTCATTTAACATACTACTGAAAATTAGCAAAACATAATGACTTGATAATATATGTAAAAAATAAAATAGGTTTAGTTAATTTAAGTGCTTTAGAAGTGTTTTCATAAAGGTAACTAAGCTATTAATCTTTATGAGTGTAGTAGTATTACATTTAAAATTAATGAAGTAAACTATATGTAATGAAACTATATAAAATTACTTTAGTCAGTTAATGTTGGCATCACATAGTATTATTATTAATGACTTTATTCAATATTATATTTTTGGTACAATTTTCAGCACAAAGTATTTCAACAAGTTTCCGTTTCTTACTTCTTGATCGATCCTGATGATAATTATTGAGTGATTGCCAGTTATAAGTTATCACTTCAGTCAATTGGCATCTAAATATTGTACGTTATTTTTGATGCATATTGCCAGTAACCATGATATCTCTGGGTCTTTTGTAACTTGCAAAACGAAGGGTTGTACACTTTTCAGAAATGCACCTGAATAGGTTATGCGATTAATAGCCCTAATGATGTATTGAAACAAACTAAATGAGATAACTTGTTGAAATGTCTAGATGGCAGGAATAGGTAGCTCAGATATTAGTGATAATATTACATAAGCTGTCAAAGATAAACCCGAGTCACAACGTAAATGCAAAACTAAGTAACCATTCTAATACCATATTTAGTTTGTGGAGATTATTAAATTTTATAGATTGCATTATGAACTGGTCTTAGTTAGAAAACCATTGGAAACTAGGAAGCATAAGACATATGTTTTATCTTAGCGATGTGAAGGGAGGAATATAAAAAGGTAATGATAAACAACGGAAGCTATTTCGGGGAACATATAGTTTTGTTCCTGGTTCACTCAATAAATCGCCCGCTTTCATTTGATGTATGATTCACTGACATACTCTTTTCTATCTCAAGATTGTTGTAATCTAAATATAACTATTTTTACTCCATTTTCATACCCTGATGTTTCTTTAATTATTTATGCGTTACATCTTTTTGTGTTAATATGAATCTCAAATAAATCGTTTACTGATCCTGTCGATTTGTCTTCTCTCTTTCACTTGTCAACCTATCGGAATAGTTTTCGTCACTTTTGAAGTAGATGCCTTATATTGTAAAGGCCCTAACTAGATCAGGACAAATACTCACTTGTATATTAGTGGACAGAAGGAACAAGGACGTCACAATTATTATGGTAATTTTTAGTAACGTTATTCATGGGCTTCGTAGTGACTAATTCTAAGATATGGTTTCTGAAGATATGATGACAAGCTATGATCAGTGGAGTATAATCACTGGGGCTTGTGACAGTCACCCACCAATTTTATTGGGAGATGGTCGAGTGATATCACGAATTGATTGAAATTAGAAATTTAGACCGTTTGGTTTAAAATGAATGGTCTAAGTTTTCAGATATCAGCATAAAACCTGAAATTATTGATAAGTTTGTAGATATCAATACCAAGGTTGGACTTGATATTTCCAAATAAAGTAAGTATTAGATAAAAAGTATCGAGTAATAGCTACAATGAATAGGAAGGCATACCTGACGGGACTCAAATGATTTCAACTATTAAATGAGAATATTGTGCTAGATGTTAAAAAAGGGGAAATATATACGCTGATAGTAAGTATTGTATATCATATCCATTGAATATGTTAAAGAAAATTTGAATCTCAGAACCTTTCTAAATAACACTCAAGGGTTCAAAGTGATGAACACCATATTTAAGTCTCAGTTTTAGTATCAACAGTGGAATACAGGTACATATAGATCATAACTAAGACGAAATGCTCATTATGAATTTTGTTGACAGCCATTATTCAATATATTATGTTTACATCTTAGAAAAAAAGGATACCGAGGAAATTAAGTGGGAAAAATATGAATCAATAAACCACTCTTCGCATTTGGTATCTAATGTAATGAAGGCAAATAAAGTAGTTTTTTACCATGTTGCTTTAAATCTGGTACATTGCATTAGTAAACAGACTGAACGAGAGGATAAATTATTTTATCAATTCCATGTTCTGTTTGTATGCAATGGGTTTCATTTAATGTTAAAAAATGGGGTTTACCAGAGCTTATTTGCATGCAACATTATTATCAAGTAAAAAAACAAAAAACTCATGCTTGATTTCATTCTTGTTAATATTTAATCATGCGTGCATCGCTACTCATTAAGGTAAGAGCAACAAAGCTAGCATAAGCATAGCCAACTATTCATATTTACGCACCACTTATTAATGTACGAAATGCCTGTAGTTCAGACACTGGACCAGTGATTTTATTCTTTGAATCGATCGACGACCATGGTGCCACATTTTTATTCATAAATCCATTATTATCATCATAATTATTGACAATAGTTGTTGGCAGAGTTTTATGACTGACTAAACGTAACCAAATACGATAATCAGTACCGGGGCGTAAATGCATCATAGTGAAACAACAACATATTGATTGTGGTAATGGTATAATCCCAGTAGCATTTAATGGACTAATCGATTCATTCGATAATCCAAATAAAATTTCATAAGATATTATAGAATACATTAATTCTGGTAAATTTGGTTGGTCCCAACAAATTTTTGCACTAACATTTGTCAGTGTACGTAATTGTACATTTTTTGGTGAAGGTAGATCAAATGCTGAATAATTTAATGATGTTGGATGAGAAAATGAATAAGTTAAAACAAACGAAATAGAAACTAGCCAAAAACAATTTACAACAAGGTATAAGATAGAAGTTGTTTTGAACTATAATAGTACTTTATTCATTGTTTTACGCAAAAATAGTCGAAAACTATTACACTAGGATGTTCTATTTGACTCTAGTTTCATGCTGATTGAATCTAATACTCAAAGCATATATGAAAGCTTGAGGAAGATAGATATGTCATGTGACATTTTAATCCACCTCAGCAAGTGTTATAGTAAACAAACATTACTACTGTACTATTCACATAGAGAATAATTTCTTGTAGGGATGCATTGACTACATTGACTTTTATAATAAGTAATCTACAGTGTAGTGATTGAATTCTATTTCTTCATTAGGAAATAAGATTTCAAATTATGTGATAATAGTGAAAAGCAAATATAGAGTAAACTGGTGTCATAAAAAACACTGGTACAAGTTGAAACTATGGCAAAAAAATTTAATGAAAAATATAGTATTTTGTGTATAACTTATCTGAAAGGGCTCTGTGGAAATTACAGTAATTTTTATTGTTCAGATCATGAGTCGATTAAAACTAGATCACTGTGGAAAACTTGAAAGGACTTGATGGCTGTTACACCTTACTGTGGGACTCCTCAGCAGTGCGCATCCACGATCCCGCCCGTCGAGATTCGAATACAGGACCTATCAGGTTTAGGTTTTCCATGGTAGTCTAGCTTCAATTGACTCATGATCTCAACTATAATTTATCTAATAAAACCGTTTATATGTGTTTTACGGTGACCATTACGTACATATATTTATTTAGTATATTTGAAATGTGGTCAGCAGTTTATGATTGGACACTGATTTGAATTTATTCAAGTCACATCAGTCGTATGAACTTTTAAACAATCTTCTTGTTTTTATCCGACAAAATTTACTCGATTTTTTTGGACTTCGTTTAAGTGATTATTAGTATTAGTAGTCGTCGTAACAGCAAGGGGGTTGTTTGTGAAATTCGGGAGTAAATTTTGCTTTTTAAATCTCGTAAATCGTTAACAATAATAATAATTATACTTCATATATGAATTAGCTATATTTGCTGTGAATGACAGATTTCAGGTACAAGTATCTGTATTGGGCTTTAAGAAGTAAAGCACGGTTAATAACTTGTAATTCATGTCTCTTAAATACTAGACCAGTTTATTTTGAACAGTATTGTCAAATGATGCATAGGCTACGTTGTTCGATAAATATAGAAATTTCAAAAGCAGATATGATATTCCTCTCAATGGATTTTGGAAAACTTTAATAAAATGTTATTACTTGATCAGAGGTCAGTATTCTAGAATGTTAAGTAAACAAAGAGACTATACTGGTCTACAAAAATGAACAGGCGAAAAAAATAAAGGCATGATGCAAATTTTAACAATGGGGCGTATTTAAAGTCAGGTGTTTCTTTATTTAGGTTTCAGATATAATTATGTTTGTAGTGATTTCAAATTTCAAATAAACCAAATAAATCTTGCTTTAAAATTAGCTTTTACTGATAGTGATTCCTTGTGTTTAGAACAATTACCACTGATAATAGTTAAAATTGTCCCAATTTCAAAGCTTTCAATTTACATCAATGTTAACTAGTATAAATGAATAAACTAAGCTTTTATTACACTGTCTTATATAATGGATTGTTTTTAGTATTCGATTTCTCAAACTGAAAAGTTTGGCTTGTGCTCGTTTGAACCTGAACCTGAACTAAATAATCAATAATATCAACAACAAAAAACAACCTTAAGCATCATCAAGAATTGTTCCCCTAAATACAGCTAAAATTTAAATGAAAACAAATGACTTTTAATTAAAACTTACGGTAATCATTCGTTTGAACTTCAATTTGAGCAGCTACTCCATAACCGTGTATTGATTTACCGGCTAAACTTAAATAATATCGTGTACTTGGTTCTAGATCAGTTAATAAATACTGTGTCGCTGTTGCATCAATATCACGTGTTTCAGTGATGAATGACTTTTGTTTCTGTTTAGTAATTTCTTCTTCATTAGATGTTGATGACAATGGTGATTTAATATCACTTATTTGATCTACAACAGTAGGGGTAGTAGTGGCAGGTCGAAATCTCAATCTGTAACCAAGTAATTTTCTATCATTTGACATATCATCAGGTGGTGTCCATGTTAAATGAATATTTGTCGGTTTCAGTGATATACCTCGTAAATTTGTCGGTGCGGTTGGAACTATAACATTGTATGAAATGAATTTTTTGTAGCATTGTCATTTATATTTTATTTTAGAAAAAAGAATGAAAAATTAGGTGTAAGTGATTTTCAAGATATTACAAAAAAAACATGACAACAGTGTAGAACACATATAGTATATAACTGTAAGGTATACATATATAACTTGACATTATTTATGTATAGTATCTTTATATACATAAATACATGTATATGTATATATATATACTGTCTGCATGCTGATATAGATATATGTATTCATAAATAATGTGCATTATTATAGAGAATGTGATTGAAATGTTCAGTAATCTAAGATAGTAAATGTGGACAAGTTACTGAGGCATTTTTATGTGGGAAGATTTAATATGAAAGAAAAATAGGTACTTACTTTTAACAAATCATAGGTATTTCATAAGTATAATGATTTTTAGTGTGTACAATTAGTTAAAATAACTTAAAATGTGGTAAACTAATTTAAGTAATACAAGAATGGCATCGAAAAATAGTGATAATATACAGTAAACCAATATATGATAAATCTGTAAGTAGTGGTTTATGTTAAGAAAAGAAAGATTAATACATTAAAAAGTGCATGAAAATACTACTACAATATACATAGCGGAAATTCTTTTTTTAGTCACTCTTAACTACTATCAAACTTAGTAGTAGTGTAATGATATTAACAAAATAAACTTTAATAAAGGTTACCAACTTATAAGATTTTATAAAATCTTCATTATGGAATAAACTACAATACTCTTCATTAGTGGTTTGAAATAAATGAAAATTATTTAAAATGTTCACGCTAAAATATTTTTAAAAAAGAGGTTGTAATGAGTTTTTTTATTATTTTTAAAATGGAAAATTCTTTCATTCTTGTGCATTACTCTAATAACTATTTGTGTATTTCATAAATAGACATGAATATAATGATTTGATACCTTACATATAAGTAGTGAATAACTCTTGATGCAAATATGTATATATCCATCACAATTATATGTTAATGTGAGAATGTGGCAAGGGACATGTGATTTTCAAATTTTTAATTAATCTCTATATTATACATTCATAGATATATAGACATTAACAGATTAAGACATTTGCTTTAGAGCGAAAAAAAGTTGTCTTCTTATGTAATCTAAAGTGGAAACAAGTTGAATTAGACGACTAGAAGTTGAGTATGTGTGGGTGAGAGATAGGCACAGAGAACGGGAGAGAGAGAGATAGAGTTGAGTGAAAGAATGAACATTTATTTTCATATACGGTTTGAGTGATTGCAAAGACTGACAGTTATATGCTTAGATTTTAAAAGAATCAGACAATGGATACAAATAATGCTGAGAACTGATTAAAACGAGTATGTGATAGGATTAGAACAAGATAAATAGAGACAAAATTAATATGAATGGATGACTGAGAAGTAAACTCACTATTAAAACATGTCAACTTACGAATATCCATCTGAATATCTATGAAATCTGAAATAGTTTTCGTAGTGATAATGGTAATAATAACATTATTATGGATCATTCTCATTATCTGTGATGTCATAGCCAATATATCCAACTTACTTTTAAAGTAGAATATGCACAGACTTACAAATAAGTTACATTTGGCGATGACAAGGAATGGGAATTTAGTTTCAGCATATGCATGTAGTTACAACTTGATTATTCAGATTAAGCCTCTTTTTGATTTCTTTGTTCTATGTAGTTGAAATGAAACTTTGTTAATGTTAACTATTAAGTAAGTACTCCCAATACATCGTTTCAATGCTGTTCCGTAATTTGTGAAGAACTGTTTTATTGTTTAATTTTTGTGCCTTCAATTTTTCTAATAAGAAAATCTGAAAATCTGTTAGTGAATTCACACATATGATTAACTAAGCATTTGTAAAATGCAATAATCGTTTATTTCAAGCTGAGATTTTATCTAACCTTATTTATGCATATTTCCCTTGGTTACAGGTAAACTGTACAGACTTATTGTTTGCTTTCCCGAATAATGATAATAATGGTATGTATGTATTGAGATGATGTTTCAGTGAATATGGCACCAGAAACAAGTGTAGGATGTTTGGAATTAACAAATATCAGTTGTATGATGACAAACGAAACTCAAATAGAAAGGTTTTAAATTTATTATAAATAAATAATACGTCATATTGTGGTGTGTACTATTTATGCGGAGATATTTAAGTAGTATATGGAAGGAATTAGGATAAGAGTGCTTACCAGCTGAAGAGTAAAATAAAATGAAGAGGAAAGAAAACGAATAACAAACGGAATAACAATAAGATCAGAAGAATCATGAAGTATGCAGAGGACAACTGAAGGAAGTTATGCAAATGATGTATTAAATGTACGATTTTCATATTTTATAAAGGTACTGTGTGACTTTGCTTAAAATAATAATAATAATAGTAACTTGATTTTATCCACCAAGTCTTCGTTTACTACAATATATGTAAAGCATATGCTGTGAATTCCAGATTTCTAAAGTATTAAAGCTTTTAAAGTGAATACCTATGTTATGTTCAGTTTTCATAGTGCTGTTTTCAGCTAGATTTCTGAAATTACGATAGGTTATAGTGAATAAATCACTGAAAGATGCGAATCGGTGAAGGCTTCCAATGAGCACTATTGGCTCATATATATATATTCAGTGCTTAAGAGTAGACTTATGCAACTACAGATAAATGTCAATTAAGTGATTCCTCTTATCCATATAAGGAATTTTAAGTGCTGAGAATCTAAAGTGAAAGGCGAATTGTCTTAATTTTGGATATATTAACTAGTTCTGGTCTATGAAGCAATTTACGTTGGACGATGTTCGCTGAAGTTATTTCTCGGTTGATGTGAATACTTTTTAACATAGCTAGAAGCCGACGTAATTTGGAAGATAAACATTTAAATTTTTGCCCACTTTGAGATGAACATTATTCACTAATTCTTCCGTAATCTATAATGAATTCTATAGAGTCAGGAGATAATTATTAGGCTTCAAATCCTTCAAACAACAGATGCCCTATTTATTTTTATTGTTTAAAGTCAGAGAACCAGGTGTAAGTATACAGGCCATCGTGGTACCATGCTAGCTGGCGAAGCCAACAGTCATTTTGATCGTAGCGCGACCAGTTAAACCTAAAGTATATACCTTATTTACATATTTATTTTCATTCATCGGATTTGATCATATTTTATTCTTTCATATATGAATAATTCCTTTAATATTTACCCTTATGTTGAACCCTTTTTTGTATCTTATTATATTTCATACGTTACGTAATCGCTCATATTACATTTCATATGATTATTAGAAATATTTCTAATGCTCTCAACACATATTGTTTTATATTCGTTTTGAATTTAAACTTTGGCGTTAATATGTAATCTACCAACTTTAGTTATACTAATCATTTTAAACTTGCTATTTCTACATTTACAAACAGAAGCACACATACTTCGTCCTACTAAATTTATATTTTTGATTGGGATTATGAGCCGATTGATGTTAGACCACCGTTGGAAACCTGAAAGCACTGGACAGCGGTCCAGTGGTCTAGCTTAAATTGATTTACGAATTCAACTGTGAAAATTAATATTCACCTTGAGTAGTTCAAAAAAGGTACAAATATAGTTTTCAATTTTTTGTTGTTGTTATGACGGCTGTTATAAAGAATTGATTTATAATATGATATATTGTTATAGTATCGTCTTATTTCTAGTCTGAATGGCACCAATATCTTAGAACCAACTTATGGTAGATATTGTATATTTGTTAATGTAACTGAACTGATAATAACCAAGGTAAAACAAATAGGGACGAAGTTACTTCGCTCTCTCTCCCTATATATATAAATTCGTACCAGGTTCAGTCACGTGTTAATCTGAGTTCACACAAATATAAAGCCACCAAACTGAGCAAAACAGATGTGCAGGACCCTCTTATTCTCAACATTTCCTAAACTGGCATCATTCCGTAATAAAAAGAAACTTCCACAATCGTCTACGTTTATTTATCAACTAACTAATTTATTTATAATAATTGAATTTCACCTATCCAAATATATCATTCAGTTAACAAATTGTATGAAATGGTAACATGTCAGGTTTTGTTTCTATCCTGTTAGCAAAATATTTCCAAATCAAATCTTACATTCACTAACACAGATATCCAGTGCATCAAAACTAAGGGGAAGTGTAATGAGATAGTTCTTCCATGTCTATAGTTGAATGTTGCTGAGTAATGTGCCTTTATTTTATATTTCTTGTCCATTTTGATTGACATATTGTTCAAATGTTCACTTAACAATCAAATTGACTTAACTATAAGTCGAAAACTAATAATTTGACCATTTTTTTCTACAATAACACATCCGTTTTCTTTTCTTTCCTTTTCTTTGTTCTTGTTGTTGAAAAATACTTAGTTTTAACAAGTTACTCTTTTCAGTAATTCATCTCTATAGTTTACTATTCTATTAGGTTATTTGAAATAAACATTCTAAATTAACATCATAACGGAATCACAATTGAATCTAACATAAAATTACAAAAAAATTTATGTGCCGTGTAGATATGAAAATACCAACAACCAAAAAAAGTTTAATTATTTCATGCAAATACAAAACAAAATGAAACAATGGGACAGAAAAAGTTTTTTGTTTTGGAGAGAGAAAATATCTCGAAAAATAGATAGGTGACTCTTTTATTCACATGCGTTATAAAGATGGGGGGGGGATTTATATAAATAAACATTTAACAGGAAAAGAATTTCGATTAAGAATTTATTTTTTTTGTTTGTTTGTTTTTGTTTAAAGACTAATTAATTGATAGTGAAATAAACGTTTATCGATTGGCTGTAGTGTATTCAGTTAATGAATTATTCATGAAAGTTATAAACGTAACTGATTTTTTGTTAATAATGATAATAATATCGTCATCATCATTATCATCATCATCATCATCAAAAGTATAGGAGTAGAGCAAGTGAGTATTGATTTGTTTGCCCAGGATGACATATAGATGTTCATGATTGATGATGATGATGATGATGGTGATAATGATGATGATGATAAAAGCTAGGAAAACACTAAACAATCATTGACTGGATAAATACATGTTCACTTATTGCTAGATAGGTATTCAGAGGATTGTATTATGTAGCCATGCTATGACAACAAATACTCTAGTATCAAATTTACAGTGAAATAAAACAATCTTGATACATTTTATTAAATTACCAGTATATGATTTGTCAGAAAGATAACTTTCAGAATTATCTCAGTTTGCATAATTAACTAACTTTTATGATTTTAGTACAATATTGTTTTGTATTACAACAACCAGTATGCATGTTCTGCATATAACGATCACAAAATTACGTGTAGATTCCTCCATGATAACCGGAAATATCCGTTTCTGATCACACTTCGTTTTGTTAAGTTCTAATTATCAGTGAGAACATCACGTTTTGTATGAAACAAATTTTTAATTATATGATAATTCCGTTTTCATTCGAAAAAGAATCTGCCACTAACTAACAACATCAGATTGACCAATAGAAACTAGAGTGCACTGGACAATCGTGCTTTCACTAGGCCTCGTACAACATCAATACAGTTTCCCTGTTTTATACTGTAGATAATTCCATTTGGTCACCGAGTCACAATTCATCGGTACACAATCTAAACTTTTGTTACATTTTACCACATAGTATGTTCAACTAAATTAATTCTTGATATTTAATGCAAATCTGTTGGTTTGAACAAAACAAGTCCCTCTTAATCAAGTCTGCCATGAACAAACAAAATAACACTTTAATTTTAAGCGATGGATAGAGGCCATAAGAGAATTCTAGGAAATTCGCCACTCAGATGTACTTGCATCCCGCAGTTGATACTCACTCCGAGACTCAAACTTCAGTAACTTTCTCTCCAAACGCCATAGAGTTATCTACTCGGCTACTAAGTTTAGATAACCACTAGCTTGTGATATATATATATATATATATATATATATATATATATATATATATATATATATATATATATATATATAATTTGGTTCCTTGGATCTTTCCACTGATTTTTAGGACTGCACTTTTTTAGACTCATTTTGTCATATGTGCATCCTGTGCCAGTGGCTGATCAATTGCAGTCTTGACTATTAATGAGAAGATCAAGACAATCAGTATATATGAACTAAAACTCTGTTTATTGATTTCATAATTACAATTTGCGTAGACTTAACCATAAGATGTTATTATTGGTATTGTCTATGCCATTTAGTTACATGTTATTGTAAAGCCATCGTAATTTAGATGATACTTCTGTGTCAAAGTAGTAAGATAATGAATGCATATTGAGGAATTGATTATTTGAAATAACTATTAACGGTAACATGCATCAAACTTAGAGTGGTGGAAAAAATTTATAGCAAACGGTGGATACGTTTTGTTTGGGCTACCCATCCTGTCTAGCAAATGTTAATGATGCTATTCGTAAAGAAGAATACATTCCTCTTAGTTAAATCATCCAGCTTCATGAAGAATAACACTATTTCAGTCAATCTATTTTACTTTATTATATACATTTTAGTTTAGTTATAATCAGACGCACTAGCTGATGGTTAATATGAAGATTCATGCAAAAAAAAAAAAGAAGTTGGACATTTTTGAATTGATTAGTTGGTTAATATGGTATACATAATTGTTTGTATATAAATAGTAGGTTGACGTACATACACTCACATAAAATAACACATACATACAAAGGTACAAACATGCAGGAAGTTTCCATTTAAATAAATGAAACACTCACTCTCTGGAAAAATGAACACAATAAGCATTAAAAAGAAGGAGAAGAAGAAGCATAAGAATAAGAAGAGATTAGAAACACTGACAGTGTTACATCAAGCATACAATTCTATACATTTATGTATTATGTGAAATGATTATTTAAACAAGAGATTAATATGTAAAATTTCATCTTAATATTTATCAAATTATTTCATTAAAGTAAATTGAAAAATAAATAGATACCAATCATCAGAGTTGATTTCTTGACCATACCGCTTATTTATTATAATGATGATAATAATAACAAATTATAAGCATTATTATTATTGTTGAAACTTACCTCCGGGTGTAACTACAATTGGTAATTGTTCACTAACTGGACCATCTCCAGCAGCATTGAATGCATTGACTTTAATATAATAAGTTGCATTCGGTAGTAATTTTGTTAATTGATATTTCTCTTGTGTTGTTCTAGCAATTAACCATGAGTTAAGTGAATCTTCTGGTCGAGTTGTATAATACAATTTATAACCCTGTAGAATATTTTAAAGTGAAAACATCGTATGATTATTATTATTTTCTCTCAAGCAAACGTCAAGAAAGAGATATTTATGTATTTTTATAAAAAAAATTATAATAATGACATCACAGTGACTTGGTTTGAAACCCAGTAGCTGATAATAAATTATCTAGTCTGATTTGAAATAAGCTGAGGTTATATAATATGAAGAACAAAACCTATTGTTTTAGGTTATATCGATTATAGAAAAAAGGCTAGGCCTTAAATGAATACACTGATGCTTTATACTCAAACACCTTATGCAAATAGTAATTATGTCTTCACTAATGAATAATTCCTAGATCTAAGTTTTGAAGTTCTACTAAGACGCTGTGATCACATGAATTAATCAATATCGAGTATGAGGCATTTACTCACCAATAAGATTGGAAGATGGTTGTGCAATAACGAGATTTGATTAAATTTGTATATTTAAAATTTTGGATCATAACTCAGTTATTTAAATGATATAAAAACTCATTGCCAGACCTGAATGTTTTAGTGATCATGGATGTGAGCATACTAAAACAAAACATCCATCCCTGGTTTTCATTATTTATCTAATTAAGGTTAGCTCATTATTTGGACTAGAAAAATCTAACAATCTACACAAAAGCATCAAATAAATAGTTGCTGATTTGTTATTTATATTAAGGTAATAATCAATCATCAATCAAAACTTTTATTTCCACAAAGCACAGTATTCATTTATTCTGTATATATTTTGAACAAATTAATGTCTTTATATGGACGTTATAGATTAGTTGTATTTATTCACTTACTGATTGAAATTTAAAGCATTATTGTTATGGCCTTTGCCCCGGTTAATTATCACGTGACACAATCTCCAATCAGAATACTGACTTACATGAACTTATCCTTGTGATAAATCAATGACAAGTAAACCAGCACTAGCAGCCTTGCGTCAACTATGAATCCTTATTGGTCTTTCTCGCCTAACTCTGCTGGTTTGAGTCCAGAGCACAATCTCAGCTTACACTGCATGAATAATATATTTCAGACACACTTAGTTTATATACAAGCAAACCAGACCGCATCATACCATGAAATAAAAAATAGCAGTTATGCAAGATCCAGCCAAAAGTGTCTGTGATTGTGAGAGACTGTAACTAATAGATTGGGAATAAAGTGAGGGCAATAAATAGCATAGTCGTAGTTAATAAGCCAAATGAAAGTTTATGATAAAAGGAATATGAATGTACATATAATCTAGTTACTTAATAGTTATACTATATATATGATAATAGTCCTAAAATAGATCCTAGCAGTTACCAATCATTTATTCTTCGTTCTGATATAACAGTTGTTTAGTGCAGATTTAAAAAGAGATTCTTGCTCATGATCTTTACTTTTGATTTACCATATATCAAATAAACTTCATGAGAAACCAATTACTTATTTATTCGATGCCGAAATTTGTGAAAATCACTGTACAATGAATTGATTAATCATTTCAACCTAAGAAACTCATAAGACTGTAATTATTAAAGAATAGATTGGAGCAAAAACTTGGAAAAAAAACTATGCATTATATAATAACTTAAATCTAAATACTCACAGTGATACGACCATTGGATTCAACTGGTGGTTTCCAGGTTACTACTACAGAGTTCGGAGAATCAACAATAGCTTGTAATACTTGAGGAGGTGTCCCAGGTGCTGAAAACGGAATCACAACAGTAATAATTGATAATAATAAAAGATAGAATGTTTGTTAAGACTCAAATGAAGAATAAAAGCGTTAAATGATTCATAGCGAATCAGTTTATGTGAGGAATCACTCGTAATTCGATCACATATTTCATCCCAAATTAACAAGCATCATCACGATTAAGAGTTAATCAGTCAGTATAGTAAACTTGGGTGATGAAATGGCAATTCTTCTTTACACAGAAGATTTTAATTTAATCTAGGTCAATGTTACCAGTAATCAACTGTATTTCTACTAGGTGTTTTGAAAAGAAAAAAATAACAAGCGTCATAATTCATCCTATAAATATCACTATATATAAATGCATCCAATCGCTTGGATAATATTGTCACTGCTTACTAAATTATATGTGTGAAATATTGCTTACAAAGAAAAATCATTTGGATACATTAAATGAAATTGTCATTTAATAAAGTTAATCTGTATCATGAAAACACTCCAGGAACTAAGGTGTATATTGATTTTCATCTTGAAATTGAATTCATTTCCATGTCAAAGAAATGCCTTTTTTTTTCAAAACAAAACATAACAAAATATTATGTAACTTCTATTTTGATCCAGTACCAAATGTTGCATCATTGATTATTTCAACAAAATAGCCAATATACTTTATTATGTCATAACTGATATGGTAAATAATTCTGCAATGAATATAGATAAATACTTTTGATGGTGAAAACATTGACTTTCAATGCTTGAAATTAATTAACATTTATCTGTGAATGCTTGTTTCATACTAGTTGATCATTTATAGATCATGACTGAAATCTTAAGGGAAGTTATAATTATTATAGGATTGGAATTCATACAAAACCAGTATCATAGTACATATACTCTTACTTATACATGCATTAATAGAATTGAAACTATATGACAACCTGTTTTTATGATACTTAAATGAATAGAACATCAATCTACTTATATCATGAACATGTTCATATGTAAATATGCATTTCATAAGTTTGGGAAATATAAGAAAATTAAAAAAGAAAATTAAATTATATCATGTATACTTAGTGGATTAGTACGGGTAAAACATATTAAATCGAGGCAATATTTCATAATCCCCTTACTCATGAATGTGATTCGAGTATAAAAGAGGATAGAAAGAGAAAGAGAGAGTGTGTGAAAGAGTGAGGATGAATAAGAATACAAATATCATACTGGTTGATCAGTAATGAGTTCATTTAATAAAATAATATAGATCATTGAAGAACATATTTTATTTATGTTTTTGATGTAAATTTCATAGTCTTATGTTTCTCTCTTCGTTTTTTTTTTCATCTCTATATATTCCTTCATTGTTCTCATATATAACTAGATATTTGAATTTATGCTACAACGAATACAATCATTAGTCTTTCAATCATGTTTTAAAAAAAATGACCAGAAAAATAAAACATTGAATATAAATAAACATATGGTTGAATGAATACCACATTACCATATATTAACCAACACAAACATTGTTATTTATTCAATTACTGAACGACACACATGGAAGATTAAGTGACGACAGTATGTACGTATATATATATATATATATATATATATATTTGTATACATTCTGACAAGAATGAGAGGATGAAATTAAGTCGTTTCAATGGTGTGTTTTCCTCATTATTAACAAAATTCCTCATGTGTAAGTAGTTTCCATTGGGTTAATTCATGTGATAGGAAAAATCTGAAAATTTCGCCTTTCTCTATAATTTGATATAGATGAGAAAGTATATATACATATATATGTTTGTAAAATCGTTAAACGATAATTTATGACTTCCACGGACAATCGAATAGGTTGAAACACTGTTAACTGATGTTAAAAAAGTTTCAACTGTCAAATATTATTCGAACATAATTTATGTTACATAAAGAATACAGTTCAACAACTATTGAGTACTGATTAATACTTGGTAACTATATGAAGTATACAACACTTTTATGTGTTCAAGTTAGAATATGTGGGTTTTGTTGACAGTGTGTTACTTTTTAGACCATTTAACAGATATACTATGATTCATTTTTGCAACTTAATTTGTAATAGTGCACAACTACTAATCAATGGCATTAAGGATACTAGTCTTACATCCCGAAATTCACTATTATTATCTTCTCATTAGAATTTCTTCGAGTTGTTTTCGAAGTTAGTTGCTAATCAGAATATGATGAAATCTGAAGATCCAGGTTTCATTAGTTAGTAAAGTGAATTCCTACAATATTTCACTATTCATTTCATAACTACTAATTCATCAGTTCACTTAATTTAATGAAATACAAATACATTTTAGATAATGATTTAAGCTGATTACGTATTGCATTTTTAAAATTTATTCTTTTTCGAAACTCAACTGGATTGAAGCGATCTCATTTGTAAACTACGTTTAATCCATAGAAAAATTAATAAATCACAACTGATTGATCTCTGGGTGGTGACCAATGTCATGTGTGTTAAGTCCTTATTAGTGCAGATCGAATGCTATCGACCATGATGCAATGTGACCACCAGCCTAAGTGACTCGACACTGCGTGCACTATTGTGAGATTAGATGATGGTTGGAGGTAGTCGACAGGAAACCCTAATTAATTAATGTCTGAAATTACAAAAGTTAATTGGGGGTAATTAATTATTATTAGAGAAGGATGTGCTTAAAATGATTCAATTAGATATTTGATAAAGATAACTCTGAGTTTATTCCTCTTTATGAAAAAAACGAAATAAAATTTTCATTGTGCATAATTTTATATTCTGTTCTTTGCACAGAGTTAGTTATTCAATGCTATAGTGATGATTGGTTACAATTAATACAAAATCAATAAAATTCTTCATATTTTGTTGGGTTACATATGAAAACTAGATTATGGTTATCACGTTATCACTAAGATATTTAGTCAACGAAAAAACTTTTGTAAGCTTGAGGAATTTACACTCGATTGATTATCAAGTAGAGACCATTGAAATGTTTACCTAGTCTTATTAGTTGTAATAGAACGTTACATATTGTATAGCTTAATAAAGCAGATACGAAATCTTGCAGGTAGGATAAGTTAAATCAAATTTCAGGTTCTTCTTGATGGAAAATGATAAATACTATGAGACCTAGATCCAGAGGTTCTTGATAACTATCAACAACCACAAAACATTTCAAAATGATATACCTGATATAAAAACGCTTAAGTTAGTGTTATAGCGAAACCCGATCCATAAGATTTGATCAGTATTGAAGAATTTGGCATGATGATAAATCAGCTGTATATCTAGGTTCATTTAAATTTGTAACAAAAATTTCATAACCAGGAAAGCTACGGCTGGAGTAGCTTGATGGTTACATCACTGGTATCAAGCTCTGGATGTTTCGAATTACTAATTCTGTTCCAGCACTGAGTTCCTAAAGCATACAATCTATAATTTTATATTGATTACTTCCTGTCATGCAATGTTCAGTAGTAGATAGAATTCGATTAGAGCTAACGGTTAGATAACGTGATAGGGAAAAATGAAATACAAATCTGTGAATGTATAAAACAAAGGGAAATAGAAACTGATCAATTGGCATTTTGAGTACCAACAATGAGAAATTAGAAAAACCATTACTTATACCTTCATACCTGTCAAAAACATCATTGGCTATCTAAATTGATTGGCTCACTAGATAATACTTTGACGTTTAAAGAGAAAGGCAATGGGTTAGAATTATAATATGAACATCAACAAAGGGATATATTTTCATTTAGTTGAAAAGTTTCAATAGGATGATATATAAGTTCTGAATTGCCCTACTAGCTCTATATTGGATATACAAAAATTTGTCAAATATCACTCTATGGAAGTAATCTGACAGCAGTAACTACAATTCTGAATATCAGCGATGAAAAGTTATAAACCGTTTTTAAGAGTATATGGATAAATTATTCATGAAATAACAATATCTTTCTTGATTAATCGATTAAAATAGTATTTTATCATAGTTACAGAAGTTTGAAGATTTTAAATATCATTCCGTATAATGTTTTGTTGTAACGAAGTAAAGTGAAATAGCTGTACAGTATTTCACTGATACTAGTTGATGAAATGTCTCAAATGAATTATTCAGTCTTAAGAATCAAAATACATTTTATACTCTTTCTATTAACTTCATTTGTTTAGCCTTAGTTTTTTTATACAGCATCATATACAATTACAATTGAGAATAGGAAAGATACAAAAAAAAAATAAAAAATAAAAAGAATGTATGATCAATAGATAATTTCACTGATTGAAGTCATGAGTGAATTGAAGCTAGACCACTTTGGAAAACCTGAGAGCACTGGACGGCCGTTTCGTCCTAGCATGGGACTCCTCAGCAGTGTGCATCCGCGATCCCGCACCCCGCGAGATCCGAACCCAGGACCTATGAGTCTCGCGTCAGGCGCTTAACCATTAGACCACTTAGCCGGCATCCAACGGTGTTAATGTCTAATTTCAACCAACCTACGAAGTTGCGCCACTGTACACCATTGTCTTCAGTGAGTTGATATCTCACAACAGACCTGGTTGGACTCCACTGGTAACGGCTTCTCATTAGAACTCCAGGAGTGTCTCTTGAAGAATCAAAATACACTTTATACTCTTACTATTAACTTCATTTGTTTAGCCTTACTTTATATTTATACAGCATCATATACAATTACAATTGAGAATAGGACAAATACAGAAAAAAAAGAAAAAGAAAAAGAATGTATAATCAATGGATAATTTATCTCACCATGGGTAATTTGATTAGCTTCATGTTTCTGTAATTTCAATGAACGTTTCAAGAGAAAAAAATAAATTTATTCTAAATGTATAGATTCGTTCAAGGGCAAAACTAACACGAAAATACTGTTTTCAGGGGAGGTTGTTTGGTTGGTTGGTATTAGCTTGTATTTATATATTTATTTAGTATTGAAAAACAACTCATTTTTAAGAAAT